ATAATAATAATAATAATAATAATAATAATAATAATAATAATAATAATAATAATAATAATAATAATAATAATAATAATAATAATAATAATAATAATAATAATAATAATAATAATAATAATAATAATAATAATAATAATAATAATAATAATAATAATAATAATAATAATAATAATAATAATAATAATAATAATAATAATAATAATAATAATAATAATAATAATAATAATAATAATAATAATAATAATAATAATAATAATAATGTGCATGTGTGTGCCTTTTATACTCACCCTCCTTTCATTGATTGGCAGTGTGTGATTCAAGAAATCTCCATCCCACTCAGCAGACACCAAAGATAAGATCAAAGATCAAAGAGTATATTTGATAACCCATCTCATTTTCAGCAGCCTCACTGTGCTCGGACTGTTACATCAGCATATCGCTAGCTCAATCAGACCTATAGTTTAACATGGTGAAATTAAGGCATTGGTGATGGGCCTAAATAGAAACTGTTGTCTTTTGGATCTTTGGTTTCTACACTCTTACAAATAAAGGCTCCAAAAGTGTGATGCCATAGAAGTCATGCCATAGAAGAACCATTTTTGGTTCCTCAAAGAAACTTTAAGTAAACAGTTCTTAAAAGAACCACTTTTCATAATGTGAAGAAAATTACTAATCTAAATATTTTTTTTTACCAGTATAAAATATATTTTGTGCAATGGAAAGGTTCTATGAATGTTAAAGGGTCTTCATCGAATCATCACTGAAAAAAAAGCACTTTCATTTTACAAGTGCACACAAACCCAGAGCATGTTCAAGCAGTGATTTTTTTTTTCTCCAAGTGGTGTTTATTTAAGAAAACTGTGTTTATTACAGGACTCAACTGTAATAGCTCATGTTTAGCCCTAAAGTTGATTTTTTACAACAAGTACAAGTCTATACAAGTTCCTCAACGTCCATGTCCTCAATAATTATGAAAATCCTTGTGTCTTCAAAAAAATAAGAAATTCATATTCGATTTGAAATCATGATAAATAGATAAATATATAACAAAACGTTACAACCCGTCTCAACAGTCTCACAAATAAATAAATAGAATCATAAATAACATTCAAAAAATATCTTTGGCCAAACAAGGCCCATGTAGACATTTCCTCCTCAAAACTCTTTCCACCGAAGCTTAAAATCCAGGTCATGGTCAGCTTCGGTTAGCGACGCCATTCATCCTTAAGTAGGGTGACGAAACAAAGCTAAACCATAAAAACAAGAATAACAAACCAACTCCATTGAGGCACTTTTTAAGGATGTCAGAAACATTTTGCATCTTCCATGTGGATCTTTTTTTTCATGAAAAGCAAAGCTGAATAAATATGACCAAAAACCTCCAACATTCATTTACAGATAATCCAAAGGCTGCATTTTATTCTGACTTCCTTTATCCTCACGTCTTGAGCATGAAATCAAGGTAAACTAAAAACCTCAAAAAGAAAAAGGTGAAAAAGAACAACTACAAAATAATATAATGAAATCTGGTAAAAGAAAATAAAATGTCAAAGTTAAATACACATCTATGTTTGTTTCAAACTTAGTGTAAAAAAAAAGAAAAGAGAGTCAAAAACATCAGTGTTTGTTTTCAGTGGTGGTGCTCAATGTTACGTCTGATTGGCTCTCTGATCGTTCTCCGAATATCCCTGCGAGGGTTTTGAAGCGAGGCCCCCACTCGTTGAGGTAATTGTAGTCCTCCTCTGTTTCACCCTTTACAGACTCTATAGAGCTTAAACTCTCAGCCACCGAGCCCTCGCCCTCGTAGGCATACGTGGCCAGCGAGTCGTACGGCGGGGCCGAAGTGTCACCATCGTGTTCTTGCAATCGCAGACTGATGAAGTTGCTGATGTCTGTGCTGTTTTGCGAGGCTACTGGCCGCCGTGGACACAAACCCAACTCTGGCTTAACATCTCGGCGAAACATATTTTCCTTGATGACTTTGGGGTTGCGGAGGGTGCCCATGTCGAAGGCGTGCGTATCCTCCTCGCCCCCACCTTCATCGTCGTAATGGATGACGTTGTCACGGACGTCCTCTTTGGACGTCATGAGAGTCTCTTTCTTCTTCTGCCGCCGAACCCCAACGTAGAGGACCACAATCACTGCAGGAAATAAACGAGCAGAACAGAAAGGAAAGATTAGCATCTTTTTATAACACTCATACACATTAAAAAAGTAAATCAGATCTGACAACAATGATAAATCATATCACATTATTTTAGTCGTGTGCTTTTCAAGTTGATCAAGCCAATGCATGAGACAGGGAAAAAAACACATAGGCGATTAGTTTGTTTTAATTAGAAGGTGGGTTTTCTGTTCCTATATAGCCTCTGTATTGAGTATTGTGTTTTTTTCCCATTCATTTTTTTATGAGTGACTCAAATCGTCCTCGTTATGCTGTCTGTACAATCAGGGACTGAGGCAGGCAGAAAAACAGCAGAAGCCAGTGGAAACACACTTCTCGTTCAATCAAGGAGACAACCCCCTCATTTGTCAGAGTTTTCCATGATTGGCAAACAGCTCCTGACTGCAGTCATCATTTAGAGACAGAAAGAAAGCTGCAGCAGTAATGTGTACCCTCCATCTGATGGACTCTCTCACCCATCATGTGTGACTATTTCACTCCTCTCGTGTTATTAATTTGTTATTGACTGGCCACAGAAGATCCTCAGCTATAGATATATAGAAAGATAGAAATAGAATGATAAAAAGCAAGAATGACAACGAAAAATAGAACAATAAAGTGATAGACAGAACAATAGAATCATAGAATGATAAATAGAACGATAGATAGAACGATAGATAGAAATAGAATGATAAAAAGAAAAACAATGAAAAATGGAACGATAAAAGAATAGACAGATCAATAGAATGACAGAATGATAGATAGAAAGAGATAGATACAAAGAGAATGATAAAAAGAAAGAAAAACTACGAAAAATAGAACGAAGAAAAGATATACAGATCAATAGATAGATAGATAGATAGATAGATAGATAGAAAAGATGATAGACAACAATAAAATTATAGAATAATAGATAGAATGATAGAACAAACGAACAGTAGATGGATAGATAGATAGATAAGATGATAGACAACAATAAAATGATAGAATAATAGATAGAATGATAGAACAAACGAACAGTAGAT